AAACAATATATATATATATATATATATATATATGTGTGTGTGTGTAGTATAGTAATGTTAGACACATAAAATACAATACAATTTTTACAAAGTTAGACAAATAACAGTATAAATAAACAAGATAGATAGATAGATAGATAGATAGATAGAAAGAAAACACAATACAATTTTTAAATTAATATTCTCAGCAAAGTTCTTCCAAGTTTCTAAATGTTTGGATTTTCAATTCACATTTGATAACACTTTCCCTATAAATGTCCCTATAATTTACAGTGGAGAAATTATTAATTCTAATTGGAGGAATTTTTGTTTTATCTTCTATAAGACACAACCTTGGTGAAAGTCATCTCAGTCCTCTCCAATGTAAAAGGAGATGACATCTTAATACCCAAAAAGGCAGGATCTTTGTATGAAAATGCCCATGTAAAACCGTCTCAGGTTACTTATGTAACCATGGTTCCCTGAGTAGGGAACGAGACACTGCGTCCTCTAGGGGTCGCTAATGGGGAACACCTCGTCGTGAACCGTGTCTGAAGCATACATTGAAAAAACACCAACAACACGTTGGCTGGTGACCGCCCATGACGTCACCCAGGGGCTACCGCTTGCTCTTGCATAAGCTCTGAAAGGAACTGTCTCAACAGACCTCTAGTGGCCACACCCTGTTAAAGTAGGATACCTAAGTGGAGTGGTGCCCAAGGTGAACGGAGCTTAAACCAGCTCAAGAAAGGGCACGAAGCAACCGCGCAAAGCCCTCACCATACAGGATTTTAGAAAAGAACACAAAGAACTAGCGTGCGAACTTACCACAATGTGGATTTTAGAAAGTGCACAAAGCCTTCACGTGCACACTTACCATAACATGGATTTTAGGATACCGTTCTAAGGGACGTCCCCCATAGCGACCTCTAGAGGACGCAGTTCGAAGTTCCCTTGAAAGGGAACTTATATTAAATGTACCTCTTGATTCTTTGAACCGACCATTGTTGAACAAAACTGTTGAACAAAAGAGTACAAGTATATGTATTCCATTTCTGAACTGAAGCCTTTTCACCACTTTGTTTACATATGAGTTGCTCCATATGGACTTCCTTGAAGACTTCCCCAGAGTAGTATATTGTTTTCCATGAATTTAATGGTGACCTCTGTACCACCTTTAGTAACCTAATGAAATGATTTCTATAGACAGGTTTGGAGAGCACCCAAATGCTCTCAAATCTTAAACACACATCACAGCAGCAGGAAAGCTGAAGTACATGAATATTCATTGCTGTTTAATAATCAGATTTGTTTATTAAACATAAATGAAACCCTTTTCAGAATGACAGTAACTTATTGCACTAAAACCTTATAATTCCTCATATTAGCTGAATGTTATATTTGTATGCTTTGAGTAATTGTGTAGACTTTGAGCATAATTTCATTATCATTAGTCACTGTTGGCATTTAAACTATAGCAGAGTTTAAACTCATACAAGGGTTTAACAAATTTTCAATATGACTGTTTTTATTGTATTTCAAATAAATGCAGCCTTATACCAAACTTTGTTTTTGTATATATATATATTTATTTCTCTAAAAAGTGTATTTTCCGTTGATGGTCATTCAACATATCTGTGTATTCTGATTAAATAAATGATTTCATTTTTTTAACAAATATTTAAATTGCTCTTTTTTTTTTTTCATTTTATATATTTTATTTAATATTATTATTTCTTAAGTACACAACTTGTTTTAGAGGGCTATAAAAAGTGTAGAATGGACTTTTTGGATATTTTCCCTGTCTCTTGCCAGACTGTGCACTTTCTTGCTGTGCCGTCAGCATTAGCATTGTCATGACATAATTTCCTTTAACTTTAGAGTCATTTATCACATTCATGCCTCAGGTGAGTGCCTTAAAGTAAGCTGGCTGGAGAACTGAGCCAGGATTGAGATAAATGAGAATGCTAACAGAGAGCTTTCTCCAGGTATTAGACCTCCTTGGGCTAGTATGGCTTTATGGTGTCTCGTTTCCACCTTGACTGAGTTTTTAGAGCATTGGCAAGTGTGGTTTAGACATAATGAGGTTTTTACAAGTCCGTACCGGAATCAGTGCAGGTGTAAGTTCTGCCCTTGAGTTCTTAATGGAAACCCATGTTGCTCTGCTTGTTGATCGACATAGACTTTAATTAACACTGATCTTACGGAGGGGAGGAGGGCAGGTGCCATGTCCCTCTTTTGATGTATTACAGAGCAGCCTAGGCTTGACACTAAGTTAGAGATGAAAGAGGCATGCCAGGACTTATGACCACTTTTTAATGGTCAGCCAATCAGGTGGGTGTTCAGTACAGCATGTTTCCCTGCATGAAATTACTGTCTATGGAGAATAATAGGATATAATAAAATAATGAGAAAATTATACCATGAAAATGGTAGAGAGAAAAACTAAATAGAAAGACCAGTTCAGGTAACTGTAATATCAGTGATAATCAGATATCACATATGTCCTCCATTGTGTGGACCTTTCTGCCCCTCAACAGATTAAGCAATAAAAAAATCATCAATGACCACAATTCTGTTATTTATAACATGTCAAGATCTACAGGAAGTGATTGAGGAACCCTTAGATTCTATTCATCCTGATAGCTTTTACATCTTGCATCTTGTATGCCACATTACACAATGCATCTCGCTTGGAGAGGCGTCATTTGTCTAAGGTGAAAATAAAATGGGTATTTATGTTATCAATATCGAATAGAAGGCCATGTTCATGATCATTCTGTCAAGCTGTTGAAAGCAATTGGGAATACTTTTTGATTGTTTTTTTTTATACTAATTTCAAAATGATCATAACAATAAAACTGTAACTGCAATATCTATCTTCAACTGACAGTGAACAAGCAGGACTGGAATTGTTGGAATATTTTTAATGTGCTTTGTTGTTTTAGGGTATTATTATTAGGGTTTAAGTGGTGAATTAGATGTTTGGTGTTAGATCATGGCACGCTGGTACATATTTATAGTAACCTAATACGTTATTTATAATAAAATAAAGAGTCCCTAAAGACAAATGCAGTTATAAAAGATACTGGAGGAAGAGAATAAAAGACAGAAAAAAACTGAGAGATTTATGATAAATAGTTATGAATCACATGAATATCACAAGTGAATATGAGAGTTCATGGAAAATAACATATTTCATATCAGGATCAATACATAATATCAGCCATTTAGCCGTATTTCAGTGAAATGAACTACTGAGAGCTCAATGCCATTATCAGTCACTAAGTTCTAAGCCTAAAGCAGTTAGCGAATTTGGTTGAATTATGTGTGCGATTATTTTGCAGTTCTGCCACAGGTTTAAGATTGATTCAGTTACATTGATGACATTAATGTATCCAATCCATAGCTGTTAGAGCTTCAGATATACAGTATAGGTGCCCAGAACGTTCTGCAACATATAAAATGAAGATGTGCTTTTCAAAATAAAATAATAAAAAAAAACACTTAATCATTTTACAATTGTACTCAAAAAGTCTAAGTAAAATGTTTATATTTCATGAATCATATTTGATAAATCTCTGCTTGTCCTGTCAAAGACAACACAGGCAGTCAGATGGCCTGGCCATAAAAAATAAATGCATAGCTTTTTTATTTTCTCCAGTAGTGCTTTGATAATGCTTACATTAATGAGGTGGCATCAGGCCTTCAAAGTTTTTCTCATTCCTGTGGGGACCAGCCCAAGCTTCCATAAATGTCTGTGTGTGCCAGAGAGTTTCACACTCGTTCTCATATACTTTTCCAGCTCTCTCTATATGCTGAGTCTTATCTCTCTCGCAAATATTTTTCCATTACTGTAAAGGCTGGTGTTAATGTCAAGTGTTGTTGTGGTCTACTTGGATGTGATCAATGAATAAATTATTTTAATAACTTATCATTATTATTATTGTTATATGCATAAAGTGAGAATATAGTAAAGAGAGATAAGTAGTTGTAAGAGGCAAGTGAGTAAAAATAGAATAGACTGAAATTAGAAAATCTTTTAAAAGCAACTCTATTTTGTGTGTGTTTGTGATTTTGGAGCCCCCTACAATTAAGTGAGTGGAAATCACTGGATAGCTGTACAAGTGAATTTGTACTTACACAGTGTACACACTTCCAGAACAGAGGTTTGGGAGAAGCATGGATAGAGTTGGTTTAAATCAGAAAATGCTTTGAAAACCTGAAGAAGGCTTTAGTTCTGTCAGGAATCTTTATATACATTATTGTGGAACTGCTGGGAGTCAGCAACAGTTTTTCAGTGAGGATGAATCTGTTCTTCAATTAAATACCTATTTAGTTTAAGTCTGTCAGTGTTTATACAGTATGTCGGTGTTAGGCTATTTCAGTGTCATTTATATACTATTTTAGAATGTATTAATATTTTAAATTAGTATTTTTTTAGTTTGTTTTAATAGTTTTATTTTGTTTAAAAAATTTTCATTAAGCCAATAAATTCAGAAATTTCAGCTAATTTATTTCTAATTCAGTTTTTGTTTTATTGATTTTAGTAAATAAACTGGATATATTTCAGTTAGTTGCCAAGGCAACATTTAGTTGTTGTTGTTGTTGTTGTTGTTTTAATCTAATATTTATATTTATTTTATTTCAGCTTTGTTTGAAATAATGGAAACAATATTTAATAGGTACAGGTTTAGTTAACAATAACAACAGCAGTGTACATGTGTATAATATACTGAGGATATAGATCTGCGAGCAGCAGAAATAAGATCCGTTGCTAAGTTGTCACAGTCATATTTATGTAGTCATGACCAAATATGATCCCTGTGGCTCTCATTATGCTCAAAGTCTTCTTCGTTCATCCGGCTACGGTTTCCACAGTTCTCTTATATTCCTCAAACAGATGCTCACCCGTGAAGACTGTAGCTTATCTAAATCTTTTTATCAATTCTGTGCATGAGAGTCTATCTATCTATCTATCTATCTATCTACCCACCCATCCATCCATCCATCCATGTAATCACCTCATTGGGCTGACCCTATGAGCCTACACTTAGTCTCACTTTATCTCAGTAACCACTTTGTAATTGGACACTGTACTCACAGAACAAATGAATCATGGATGACTGGGCATTTCTACAACGTAAACACTGACATAACCCGCTTGTACACAGACTCGGCAGAATCATATTTATCAAATTGACCAAGTTTTAATGTGTCCCTGAGTGGCAGGTGGCCTCAATACTTCAACTCCTGTTTTAATAGAATGTGATGATGCTTCTTTTAAGAACAATATATTAAGTAGTATTCAGTAACTTGAGAAACAGGTTGTTTTATTTGAAACAGTACTGAGCAACACACAGTAATTGTTTCGTTCCTGAATGAATCAGCATTTTTGAACGAATCGGTTTGGTGAATGATTTACAAAGATTTACAAACTTACAAAGAAAGCCACTTGTTATGTTGCTGAATTAATCAATGTTTAGATCTTTTGTTACTTGTTTTTCCTTTTCAAAGAAAGCCTCTCTAGCTTGCGTTTCATAGAAAAAAGAGCACAATTCAGATTCCTTAGATTCACAATTTCAGATTCCTATTTCAATTTCACGTACTCTTTCTGTGTCTGTCTATTTCTTTGTCACCATTGACTGGGGCACAATCTCATTATACTGTGATGTGTATGACATACAGTAAGCCCCATGCTGGAGAAAGCATATAAAAACTTATAAAAAGCATATATGAAAAAGCTGATTGGTTTGATCCATCTGTGCTCTCCATCCACATACCATCTATATTTCATGAAATGTAACAAAAGGCATAAGCAGACTAATAAAAACATAATCCCATTACCGTTAAATGTTACTGAGAGGAAGGACCTGTGCATTACTGTAGCATAAAGTAACTAGTAACTAAGATTTGAAGTTATTGAACTTAAACAGTAGCTTCATAGAGCATTTTACAATGTGGCATAAAATCTAGAACAAATGAAACATCTGTTTAATTTTTGTGACTAATTACAAAGAAAAGTACTAGATGTATCTGTTACAGGCAATGTAATGAGCAGCTGTTGCTATCTGGTGTTTTATAAGTCTCTTTGCAAAATGATGTGTCAAAATGTAGCCTATAAAACGTTGCATGCTGATCATTATGTTCAACATTATTTTAATACAGGTTTCATAATTAGGAATTGCACCAAGAGTGGCTGGACCAAAGTCTACCCATCCTATGAGAATGCTTGTGAGATTGTGGAGGATGTGGAATCGGAAACCGAGGTGAAAAGTACTAGCTGTTCACTTTGTTTTTTTTGTTTGTTTGTTTTTAGTAGAAATACAAAACAAAGGTTGTGAAACAAATGCAAATGGAGACACTTTTGGGTTTGGTTTGCTGAGAGAGACTTATTTTACCCTCATTTTCATGTGTACCCCAAGATCCTGACCAGCTCCCTTCACCTCAAAGCTGACGACCTGTTTTTTTTTTTCAGATTCCTATTTCAATTTCACGTACTCTTTCTGTGTCTGTCTATTTCTTTGTCACCATTGACTGGGGCACAATCTCATTATACTGTGATGTGTATGACATACAGTAAGCCCCATGCTGGAGAAAGCATATAAAAACTTATAAAAAGCATATATGAAAAAGCTGATTGGTTTGATCCATCTGTGCTCTCCATCCACATACCATCTATATTTCATGAAATGTAACAAAAGGCATAAGCAGACTAATAAAAACATAATCCCATTACCGTTAAATGTTACTGAGAGGAAGGACCTGTGCATTACTGTAGCATAAAGTAACTAGTAACTAAGATTTGAAGTTATTGAACTTAAACAGTAGCTTCATAGAGCATTTTACAATGTGGCATAAAATCTAGAACAAATGAAACATCTGTTTAATTTTTGTGACTAATTACAAAGAAAAGTACTAGATGTATCTGTTACAGGCAATGTAATGAGCAGCTGTTGCTATCTGGTGTTTTATAAGTCTCTTTGCAAAATGATGTGTCAAAATGTAACCTATAAAATGTTGCATGCTGATCATTATGTTCAACATTATTTTAATACAGGTTTCATAATTAGGAATTGCACCAAGAGTGGCTGGACCAAAGTCTACCCATCCTATGAGAATGCTTGTGAGATTGTGGAGGATGTGGAATCGGAAACCGAGGTGAAAACTTCACTACATGCAATACTGTACACATCCTCAGAGAATCTTATGGCCTACTAGCTGTTCACTTTAAGTTTTTTTTGTTTGTTTGTTTTTAGTAGAAATACAAAACAAAGGTTGTGAAACAAATGCAAATGGAGACACTTTTGGGTTTGGTTTGCTGAGAGAGACTTATTTTACCCTCATTTGTACCCCAAGATCCTGACCAGCTCCCTTCACCTCAAAGCTGACGACCTGTTTTTTTTTTTTTTTTGCCTCTTATTTACATGAAGTTGAGCATTTCTCAACTTTTTAAGCACTGTCCAGAGGGACTTTGCACTGGCGCTTCCTTTGTCCACTGTCAGGCCCACAATCTGCCGCAAACGTTTACGGTCAAGCTCATTTGTTGATCTCTTTTGCACTTAGTTCATTTTCTTTGAAAATATCTCTTGCTTTTTAAGTGTTTAAGTGTTACTTTTCTTAAGTGTTGCTGGGAGCAATTTGTTATTGCCAATAAAAATAGCTACTGAATTTAAAGCGTAAATAACCTTTCATCTGTCAGGCAGTTCCCTTATATTATCTTTCTTTTTTTTTTTTTTGTGGCAGAGGACTGCAGTCAAATGGTAATGAGAATAGAGACAGTACTTTGAATGAAAAATGAGAGATAATATGATAATGTTCTGTACACACACACAAACAAGCAAGCAGTCCAATGTTAATAGATGAGCGTGTTCCTAATGTGAACAAGCCATTTACCAGTAGTTGAATCAGTCATACAAGAACATAATACTCTCTCCTGAGTGCTAAATTTAATCTCTACCACTTAAACTCTATTTTCATAATGACTTTCACCTGTGCCTGCATCAGGGGAGGTAGCAATGGGGTTAAATATGCACCTGAAATATAGTTAGTTGCTGTAATCCCAGAACAAGATGACCGGTTTTGAATAACAGCTATGTCCGAAAAATGCAGGATGTAGAGGTTGGAACACATCATAGGGATCTCAATCTAATGTTTGCATTTCATCCTGTCTATTAACAGACATTTTTGCATTGTAAGCAGTCATTCATTGCCGACATTATCCCTCAATCCTTTGTATGCGGTTCGCAGGTGACATTAAAATGGCCTCTATTGGAGTACCCAATTTATTAAAGTTACCATTTTTTCCATTAATAAATAATTTAAAATAATAACAATATATTTTACATTTTTATACATTTTATTATTGTATATAACTTTTTTTCAACATGACTATTTATATTTGCTTGGTTTTGGGCATTTCTCATTCACTGCACTAGAGGTTGTGGCACAAATAACAAACAACGGAATGTATAAATTGTATTATTTCATCATACATTTTTATTTTTATTTTGCTGCACACTATCATTGGTTAAAATAATAAATCTGTTATAAGATCCATGATATTTCAGACATTATGGTGACACTGTTCTTGTCTTCATCCAGCCTTATACTCTCATACATGATTCATGAACTCTGCAGGTTTAGAATTATTAAGATTAAGAACCAAAGATCCAGCAAGCCTGTGGATAAAAGTGTTTTTTTTTTTTTTTGCAGCAGCAGCAGCAGCATTTTTAATGAAAGATTGTTGCATCAAGTCAAAGCACCATTGTGCAACAAGCAAAATCAGTTTCTGTATAGCTTGTTTGCAAAATCAAACTGTCACATTCAGTTCAATGGGACAGTTTATTTAAGAATAGATTTATGAACAACTACACAGATATTTTTATGTGTCAAGAATAAGCCTTAAGAACAACAAAAATGTGTTGAAGTGCACAAATCAAATTGAAAAGACTTGCTGTTTCTCTGTAATATCTCTTTATAAAAGACTGATATTTCCCTGGAAATAATTCTATACATTTTCTTTTTTTCTTCTTTAATTTTCTTCCTATGTTCTAGACCACATATTACTCCACTTTCAGGCAGGTGTACACTGCGGGTTACGCTACCTCTCTGATTTCCCTCATCTCTGCCATCTTTGTGTTTACAGCCTTCAGGTACATCGAGAATCCTCACAACGCTCATGCAACCAAACACATTTTATAAATGAATCACTGAGAGGTTTATGACAATTTGTTGAATCATTTGGCATCATCAGTTGAATCATTTTACTCTGCCCAAAACAGGAAGTTCCACTGCACAAGAAACTACATTCACATCAATCTCTTTGCCTCCTTCATCCTGCGAGCCAGTGCGATCTTCATCAAAGATGCAGTTCTCTTTGCCGATGAGAATCTGGACCACTGCTTCATGTCAACAGTGAGACTCGCCAGCTGTCACAGGCACATGCATAATTTGTTTTTTATAGACTTCAATCCAACGGATAAGCTAATGCATGCTATTCAACATGCCAGAGCTCATGTTCCCAATCAGTCTTGTGCTCAGTGAACGTATTAGGTCACAATGTATGATGCTACAGCATCTATCTGGAACAGCAAAGACATTTCTAAGCTTTACACCAGTTTCTGTCAGCAGAGTGACACTAGCTTCACATTTTCTGCATGCTCTCTTCCACCCCTGTCAGTATCAGCCGGCTCATCTGTGCCTTAAAGGCACACTTTTGAAGATCTGCCTCCGCTAGAACTCACAAACACCTTCTTTGAAGTATAAAAAACACTTCTTACATAGCTAACACTCTTCTTTCCACTTCTCTGTGATGGTATTTGTGCTGGTTCTTATCAGCACCATTAATTCATCTACCTTAAAATTAAATGCCTGAGCACTGCAACAATATCATACTTTCATTTGCAATGCGTAGGTCTTAAAATTTGCTACATGCTGTGGCAATTGCCACTCAGACAGTATGTGTACTTTTATATTTTCTGTTTAAAGATATGTATTTTAAGAACATCCAGTACATCTTGACAGAGCAATTATAGCACTAATACTGAATTCTGAATGTTTTCCTCTTCAGACCTCTTGCAAGGCGGCGGTGGCTTTCTTTCAGTTCAGTATCCTGGCTAACTACTTCTGGCTGCTGGTTGAGGGGATGTATCTACAGACTCTTCTAGCTCTAACTTTTGTCTCACAAAAGAAGTATTACTGGTGGTACATACTTATTGGCTGGGGTAAGTGTGGGTACTATAGAAGATACTTGGGAACATATTGTTATATGATATATAATGTGATGAAATATTACTAATTTACACTAAAATTACGGTCAGAAGTTTTGAATAATTATGATTTTTTGACATAAATATAGTAATATTGTGAAATCATTTTTTCCACCATTCAAAAGTTTGGGCAATCGTGGCCTTCTGTATTATGTTCCATTGGTGACACCTGTAGGCATGAGATGAAAAATCAACTTTTTCCCCCCCTAAACATGGATTTTTATAGGAAATCTCAGTATTAGATATGAATACATGAAACCTTTTCTTGATTCTGTGTCAACATAGTAACAAACATGCTTTACAGTTTGATGAAATTTTATTCATTTAGTTTGGCTGTCTGTATCCTGTAGGTCTACCAACACTAATACTGACCATCTGGGTTCTAGCAAGGAATTGTTTTGATAACAGAGGGTAAGTCCAGATTGATCTAAACCCTTTAAACTAGTGTGTGATACTGATATTTGATTTATAGTGATAAATACTGAAAAATACATTTCAGTGCTGTTTGCAAAAGTGCAGTTACTGGTCTTCTTATAAATAATCATAAGCTCATGTGAATGTTGCAGGTGCTGGGATGACACAGATGTTGCTTACTTTTGGTGGATTATCAAAGGACCCATCACAGTGTCTCTCCTGGTAAAATACAGCTGATTTAATCAAGTATATAAGACCACATCTGGAAAATAATGGAAAATGCTGGTTGCAGTAGAATACAGTATCATGAATAATTTTTTCATGTGCCAGAATTGTGCAAAATCAAAATGACATTTTCTAACATCTGAAAGTAAAGCTAAAAAGTTATGTAAGACAGTATGTAATGCTGTTAAATACTTGCATTTTTCTTTTGCCCTAGTCATTTTGATTGTTTTGTTCTGAATATTTGAACACACGGTAAATTGATGTGTAGTGTACAGTATATTAGATTTTTCCTTAATTTATTATACAGAGTTACATTCTTTTACATTTTTTGATCTATAGATGAATTTCTTCATCTTCATAAATGTGATCCGGATTCTTGTGCAGAAGCTGAAGTCTCCAGGAATGGGTGGCAGTGATACCAACCACTTCATGTAAGGAATAAAAAGCATACTCAAAACAAAGGCAGTAAATAATATAAAAATGTTTGATTCATAGACAATTGGCAAATACTTGAAGACTGGCACACATGCTACTGAAGTAATGTATTATTGCCATGTCAAAAATCTTTTTTTTTTTTTTTTTTTTTTACGTTTTATTTGTTTACTCCCACATGCAGCATGCTGTTTTTAGGCTGCATTCATTTACAGCCATTGCAGTTGCTCATTAGTCCCTCATGAAAAAACTCCCTCCAAAATGTACTTTCATTGTTTGTTATTAATCTGACTTAATGCTGAACTTTATGTATACTTGTAGGAGACTGGCCAAGTCTACCCTTTTCCTGATTCCTCTGTTTGGCATGCACTACATGGTTTTTGCCTTCCTGCCAGAGAACACCGGAGAAAACGCTCGCCACTTTCTTGAACTCGGCCTGGGTCCCTTTCAGGTGTGTACTGCCCAGCATCTATGAAATTCACAGAATACTAATGCTCATCAATTGTGGAATTGTCTGATGTGCAATATTTTGTGATATCACACTATAAATGATCATTTGTGTCATATATATGTCAAATATGTAAATATACTACACATTGAGTAAATGTATAATATATGTCTGTAATGTATATATGTCAACTAATAGCTGCATATGTTTTAGTGAATTGAGCTGTACTGTAATTGTTAATGCACCCAGAGTGACTGACTGTTATACTGTGTTTCTGTACATCTCAGGGTTTTGTTGTGGCTCTATTATACTGTTTTCTCAATGGAGAGGTAAGCCACAAGTGTTTCCTAATAGTAAATAAATAATTTAATGGTCAAAAGTTTGGAATAATTAAGATTTGTATAATGTTTCTGAAATAATTCTGTTATACTTCAGTTACAGTTACAGTTACAGTTTATTAAGACAGTGTGATACTGAAGACTGGAATAATCAGCTTTGCCATCACAGGAAGAAATTACATTTTAAAATGTATTAATATAGAAAACAGTTATTTTAAATTGTAATAGTATTTCTCAATAATACTGTTTTACACTATTTTTCATCAAACAAATGCAGCCTTGGTGAGCATAAGAGACTTCTTTCAAAAACATTACAAAATCTAATCTAAACTTTTGACTGGTACACTGTAAAACCTGATAAGTTAAGAATACTCAAAACATTTGTAAAAACTTATTGCCTCAAAATATTTGAGTAAACGAACTCAATTTTTTTCAGTGGTGTGAAAAAGTTTTTGCCCCCTTCCTGTTTTTTAATTGTTTAATTGCTTTTTATTTGTTTGCATATTTGTCACACTTAAACGATTCAGATCATCAAACACATTTTAATATTACACACAGATAATGCAAGTAAATACAAAATGCAGTTTTTAATAAAAAAAATAGGAAGGGGGCAAAAACCTTTTCACGGCACTGTAAGTCCAATTAACTTTCATTATTATTTGAGTGAAGTTAACTCATTTCATTTAATTAATTTCACTGTTCGGTTTTACAGTGTAGTGTATGTGTAAAACAGGAAATACATCCTGCTTTCAAAAATGCACATACATTTGTTTGTGTTTTCAGGTACAAGCAGAACTGAAGAAGAGACTGTGGAAGTGGCAGACACAAAATTATTTGAGATACAGTAAGAGAAGACGAACCCTCTTTACTGAGAGCAGCACAGTCACACAAATCTCAGTTTTAGAGAAGTCCAGCCCTAAGGAGCTGCCCTTAACTGAGTCCCACAACAGTGTATCATCCATCTGAAATCAAGCTTTATATTTCATCTCATTCCCTGTTTCTCTTCCTCTCACACATTACTGAAACAAGCTTTCTTGTTGCTTGATGCTGATAAGAAAATACTCTCTATTTTGCATAATGCAGAAGCACAAACCATGTTGTTTAGTTTCCTCTGCTAATTTAAATGAGATGCACTGACTATTTACAGACCAAATTAAAGGGACAGTTCACCCCCAAAAGAGCAGCTTGCCTTCTTTAGGAAACGATGATCATAAAACTGATTTCTCTGTAATTTGTATTTATCACTCCGTAGTTTGTCAGTTGAGACATATTGTCTGCTTGGCTTGAAAGTTGAGATTGCATAGATGTATAGATGTTGAACACAGCTAATTGCCTTACAGTAAACAGAGTCCTCATTTTGGATTCTCCACAAATAATAGCTAACAATTAAAAGTATTTTCATATTCATAAATGCATATTCATAATCATTTCTTTTGTATATCGTGTTTCAAGGCAACATATTGCACAGTGCACTGGCCCTGTATATATAAAGAAATATAATATTTATACAGGGTGTACAAAGTATTTTTCTTGAATAACAGGTATTTTCAAGATTTTTTTTCTTCATTATAAACCATGTTTAAATGTTTCAATTAAATAAATCATTATGATTTATTGATAATGTAAATGTTTTATTGGAAAATACATGAAAACACAAGCAGTCTTGGTACAAACGTACAAAGTAAATACAAATTATAAAGATGATTAATCATATTGATATGAGTATTTTGAGTAGTTATGACTATTATAATGAATAATACTGTTTTGAAAATGGCCTATTTAAGAATCCTTTTGCAGTGCACACATCTGGAGCACTAGACTGTAAAGTTTCTTGTTTGGTAGAAATGTTATCTTGTTTTATTGTTGCTAAATGTGTTTGTAAATAAATTGCTGCATATATTTTACTTGAAGTAATATGTTTGCCCACATGTGTGCTCTGTTATTTGGTGTTTTAATTATAAATATAAATTCATAAATTATAAATTAATTCACATTAACATCTATTTTCAGGAATAATAATTCTAACATATTATTGATTTGGAGTCACACATTAGTATTGATATATTTTGATAGGTGAAAAGAATTGTTCATGTGACTCTGAGCAGTTATATACCGAGTCTGACTAAACTGATTCTATATGCTTTTCACACTTTTTTTTTTTTTGCAAAATGAGTGGATAGAATATTAATTCGGGACCATAAATTCGAAAGCATTCAATTACAAAAAAAAAGACTGTGAACTTTCTGACATATGGTTACAGCTCAAGTGTATTTATTCTCTAATTGTTTTTAAAGTTGTGTTGTATATTGTCTTTTTCAGCTTGTGAAAATGTTACCCATTCAGATAACTTTTGTTGTCTTGATTGTAAGCGTTGTTGCTACATTCACCAACCTGCCTTAATGTATTCAGATGTGTATTAGCTTTGTTGAATGTTAAATGTATGGAGTAAATATTTTTATGATGTGCTTTGTGACGTTGTATTATTATGGTATATATGTAAATGTGCAGCAGTAATCTTAATGGCCTTGGTAATGACATTTTTATTTGAAATTTAGATTTTTTATTATTATTTTTTTTTTTGTAAGCAGGTTCACCTACTCTTACTGTATTTTTCCACAAACTTGACATTATTTATAAACTTACATAATCATCTTAAAGACACATTAATATGTTTTTAACATCTGCATTTTTACTGCCTTTAACATATTGTGTCCTAATACAAAGGGATTATTATTAGAAAAGTTCAACTTCATCTTCACTTGTCAAAAACATTTAATGATGTTTCAAAATGAATAGTCTATAATGTGCAAAAAGATTTACCATACATACATCCAACAAAAAATCATTTCACATCACAATCAGTGACATAAAATATGCACAAAGAAAAACATAAAAAGCCAGTAAGTTTAGCTGCAGTTAACACCATCTAGAACATTCAAATGAATCTAGCCATTACAAGTCTGTCAAACCACTGTTATTAGTATTCTTGTTTTCTGTCATATGTTAGTTTAAAATCAGAAACAACGTTTCCACATATACTTTGCGTGAGGTGACATGAATTATAGCATACTCCTCCATTAAAAAAAAAAAAACATCTTCAATAAAGCAACATTTCATATATTACATCTAAAGCCATAGCTTATTCTACAGTATTAGTTATGATACATTTTCACTTACAGGGGGGAAAAAACATGTAATTTCTGTGTTGTGAAATATAAAACCCCACACATTTTCATCTCCATACCCATGTAACGCTGACAGTTTACTTCATTTCCCATCAGCCCATTTTTATGTATTTTCTAAGTCATCAGCAGTTGAAATGTGCAGTGCTGATTGCAGGCTCATGTGCTGAAAGCTCAGTCATTTCTGTTGAATGTTGTATGAGGTATAACGTGTGCAGGTTTTCTAGTTCTGGGTAAGTTTCTGTGTAGAATCTGCCAGCAATGCAATCCCAGTACTTTGAATGAAAGGTATTAGGTGTTTGTTAGACCAAAATATGTCATTTAAAATGTACTTAACCTGTTATACAAAAAGCACTGTAATAATTCCCGGGATATATTAAAAATAGTCATGATGTGTTTTCAAGAAAGTGCACATGCTTGTTGGCCCTATGGGTAAGACTCGCTTATTTTTGTGATTGTGGTATTTTCTTTTGAAACAACAATATTGCTGTACATCATTTGTAATATAATAACACCTACTTTCTTTGTGTGCTTTAGCGCCCAACAGATCACAGGAAATGCATGCATTGTTTAAGAGGAATGGACAGCAATGCTGATAACTACACATTTAAACAACATTATAACTAAGATCTCTTTAATCACAATTTTAAATGACTTAAATTCTCATTTTTTAAATAAAACCCCAGCTTAGGATATGTGAAATGGCCACAAGTACAAACTAGATTTTGTGTTATATTGGCATGTATACGCACACAATCTGTCTACAATGTATTGCTAAAGCATGTTTACTCAGTGTGACAACATTGAGCAGAGAGTAGCCTAATGTGAACGCACACTGATCATGTCATTGAATTAGAGAGACAGATTTTACAGAAGTAACATCTCTTGAAAAGACAGTGTTTTAATTGAATATACAGAATATTCAACAATTATTAGTCAGCTGTTTATTACTTGCTATCATAATTCTAAAATTACATTTATTGAAATCAAAGTCATTTTACATCTTGTAAAAAGATGATAAGTGTCCTACATGGATCACAATAACTGATCCCACCTAAAATGTCGTCATTTACCCTCACTTTTTTTAAACAATTGTAAACGCTAAACATTCCACTTAAAGTTGAATTCAAATGCTCAATAATTATAAAAAAAAAATCTATAATACAGTGTAATTTTACATATAAATAAATATTGATCATATAAAAACATTTACATTTTTGACCTTGTGTGCATCTTTTTGCAGTTATCGTTAAAACAAGGCATTTGTTGGAAAAAGTAATGCTTCACAAAGGGAGAAATATATATATATATATATATATATATATATATATATACTAAATTGGGAAGAAAAAGGGAACGAGACACTACGACCTCTAGGCTTCCCCATAGCGACCCCTAGAGGACGCAGTTCGAAGTTCCCTTGAAAGGGAACGTCTCAGGTTACTTATGTAACCATGGTTCCCTGAGTAGGGAAGGAGACACTGCATCCTCTAGGGGTCGCTATGGGGAAGCCTAGAGGATGCAGTTCGAAGTTCCCTTGAAAGGGAACTGTAATGTATTATGATCATATACATTTAAATGTAAAACTATTATTCTCCTAATTCCCAAAATCAGTATTTTTTTTTTTTTTTTTCAGTTTTTGGAAGTGGTTTTTCAAATCAAATTACATATGACACAATGTTTTTTCTTTCTTTCTTCAGCATTACTGAAATTGAAGGCCTGTAGAAAGATACACCAAAGAAAAGAAACAAAAACTAGCTTGAATTCTCTGAAGGCCTCTTGTTTGCTGAAGCATAATAAAAGCACTTTCACAGAGTGATGCAGTTATGTGTTGCAGTTTGTCTTTGTAAAACCAAACAGTTGACTCTTTTGTGCAAAAAAGGCACTTTGAAGAAGCAAAAAACATCTTCGTATGAAGTGACATCAGTTGCAAAGACTTGCAAACTTGTACGGCAATTGACGTCTTAAGGGGTCAAATATAAAAAAAAATCATCTTTGGAATCTTAAGTGCTCTATTTGTAAATGCTTTATGACATTAAATTACAAAATAAGCAAAATATCAAATATTATGAGTCAGAAAAGCTATAAGAAAATGCTCGGCTTTTAACTGAGAAATTTAGCTCAGTTAAAATGAATTTATTCATTGATATAAGTGTAAAGGCTCGTCATTCTTTGCTGTAAATTCACTGTATGACAGCTAATAGTCATAGACGTGTGTGGGGGAGGAATCAACATGCATATCACAAGTCTATTACACCCATATTACCCAGATATGCTGTATATTAATATGCCAAACATTGCGGCATGAGCTTTGTTGCATTGTTGTATTCTAATTGACATTTTTTGTACTAGCGGCTGTTTAAAAAAATAGGAGCACATGAAGCACAAGAGGAATATACTCATGAAAACAATTTCAAAAACAAAAAGTTTTAATGAGGTTTCAAATGCTAGTTTTTCTTAATGTTAGTTTAAGAAGCGTCCCCAATGCGTGTCATTGTTGTCCTTAAACTTGATTTGCCTGCAGTCCTTCATTCTACAATTACAGCATATGAAAATATTTACATGTTAAATTAGAATTAGGAACTGGGAACCAGTTATCCATTAAGTTCCATGTGTGAAATATGTGGTTTCTTCTTCTTCAAAAATGACTCATGTCCCACATCCCATTGTGGTGAGGCTGGCAGCTGTCTTCATCCTGTTTGCTTTGACGATAAAATATTGAGAGTCGAACTATCACAAATCTTCACAGACAGAGAAACGAGAATATGAGAGACTCGTGTGATGTTGATATGTACAAAAATATCCAACTTGTTCACGACTTTCAGCTTTCTGGATGAAAACATCCTAAATACTAGATTGCTATGGATTCCTTATTTCCCCTCGGCCTGTAATTCCTTTCAGTTCAGATCAATTCTGATTCATCCACAAGTCCACATCAAAAGTATCCATGTTTGCTTGGCACACAATAGACCAATGGTTGTGAGCTCCTCAGAGTTCCATAGCAAAAGCCTGTCATCTATGGACGGTTGACAGATATTACAGCTTCAACCGACACAATACAGACTCAAAAGATGAAACAGGACTCAGATGTTGACGTAGATTATTTTGTAGCTCTAGTTCTGAGGAGTTTGGCCTTCAGTCTGTTCCTCTGAGCGCTCATGTGGCCGGTGTTTCAGCCTGCAGGCTGGACATGCGGATCTGTGAGCTGCTCTTGCTGAGGATGGAGAGCTGTGTGCCCCCATTCACACCACTGCTGGCCAGGGACGGATGCCTGTGCTTTATATCCACCGCAAAGTACCGGTTCACCGTCCAGCTGCGCCATTTTCGTTTGATTTCTGACTGCACCTTTAGGGAGAAACTTCAGTGGGTTATTAAGCTGATTGTATCCTACAGGAGGAGATCTTCAGATCTCTTTCCATGCTGCTCATGGACTAGCCTGAATTTTAAATCCAGCTGGTTAATTATTTACACGTAAGGCCGGTGTAATGAGCACTGCAATGAGAAAGGGCCACCAGAGACATTGCTTTATGCAAATATAATCCAATTTTAATGTTTTACTAGTTGGAATTTATAATAATAAAATCTGATTTTCTAAAATACAAAAAAAAAACAATACTTTTATAATAAAATAAATGTATATTAAAATTAAAATATACATTTGCGTTTATGTTTTTCACAGATGCTTTTATCTAAAACAGTTACTGAAAATGTTTTTCTTGTAACTAAAAATTCAAATTTTTTTATTACGTTCCTCACTTGCAATAACATTTTGAAGTGTTTTGAAGTGAATTTATCTGGATTTTTCCCATAGGAGTCCATTAGTAACTGTGGTAACTGGTTTTTGTTTTCCCCCATGCTAAACCAAACTGCAGACATTATTTTTCTTTTCAATAGCACTTAAAGGACTTACCTCTCCATTAAGAAAGCAGTAAAGAACAGCTACTACAAAACCCTGTGAAGAAAAATGGAACTTGTAAAAACGGTTGGTTAGGCAAAAGTAACAATTAATATAATCTTGTTTAACATATAAATGATATCTAAATATAATATATAGGATAAATGAAGGTGGAATAAGTAATACTTTTTCAATTCAGATGGACAATGACCTCAAAATAATACAGTACACACCTAATAATAATAAATAGACTATACAATACATTACAGTGTACAAAATATACATGAAATAAATAAATAAAGTGTAGTGTTAGTTCTGCCAGGTCACGTGAGTCAAGCTTGCCTCAGCTGATCCTCGTCTGCCTATAGGAATACAATGCCTATCACGGCATTCCTATACAAATTACCCTCCTCCATCCCCAACTCCTCCTTTTATCACAGTCAGAACTTGGCTTTCTGATATTCCTCATTGAATCAGACTCTTTTTATCCTGAATAATGTTGTTACACTAAAATGTCATTAAGAACATTAATAATGTCTGCATTTGTTTCTGTTCTGTTTACCCTAAGGGGGTTATTGCTGCACTCCCTGCTCATTTCATGACAGGCTGCATGGATGGGCAGGGAGTTTTTGCCTAGAACAGAACCATACCGTCAATCCAAACTGTATGCTAAATGTCGATCATCTTTAATGATAGAGGTCCTGACAGAAATAAAGTTGTCTCTTTGTACAAATATTTTAAGTTTAAAATATGAGAAGACAAAAGGGGACTTCTACCTGAAAAGAACCAAGACCAAGTTCAAACACAAGTCTTTCTCTTTTGCTGACATCTTCTGGTGTGAAAGCAAACACGGTATAGTGAATTCCAAATAGAGGAATGAGGAGAAGAGTGGAGCGGGCCAGACGCCTGTCAATCACACAACACCCCAATCATGTCATAGAAAGACTGCACATCTTGAATGTAATGCTGTTAATCTTAGAATATATGCATATGCATGTGTATGTGTATGAGTATGTGCATGTGCATGTGCATGTGTATATGTATATGTATATGTATATGTATATGTATATGCATGTGTATGTGTATGTGTATGTGTATGTGTATGTATATATGCATGTGTATGTGTATGTGTATGTGTATGTGTATGTGCATGTGTATATGTATATGTATATGTATATGAATATGTATATGTATATGTATATGTATGTGCATGTGCATGTGCATGTGTATATATGTATATGTATATGTATATGCATGTGTATGTGTATGTGTATGTGCATGTGTATATGTATATGTATATGTATATGAATATGTATATGTATATGTATATGTATGTGCATGTGCATGTGCATGTGTATATATGTATATGTATATGTATATGCATGTGTATGTGTATGTGTATGTGTATGTGTATGTATATATGCATGTGTATGTGTATGTGTATGTGTATGTGTATGTGCATGTGTATATGTATATGTATATGTATATGTATATGTATATGCATGTGTATGTGTATGTGTATGTGTATGTGTATGTATATATGCATGTGTATGTGTATGTGTATGTGTATGTGTATGTGCATGTGTATATGTATATGTATATGTATATGTATATGAATATGTATATGTATATGTATGTGCATGTGCATGTGTATGTGTATGTGTATGTGTATGTGTATGTGTATATGCATATGACTAACAGATAAATGCTGGACTCATTCCCTCCAATATCTGGAGACTGCAACTTCTGCACCAGGATTATAATGATGCCAATAAAGAGTATAAAGTTGATCTGAGAGTAAAAAAAAGACAAGATAATAATGCAATAGCTTAATATTACAGTCAAAAGTCTTTTGAGATGGAATATGTACTTTCCGTACCATGATAGAGGCAAGAACAGGACCCTTGATCACCCACCAGATGGCAGCATTGTCATTAATATCCCAGCAACTGCAGGCAATATCAGACATTTATCAGATTTAAACAGGTTTTTTTTCTAATTTTGTTTTAAGCTTTTTCATTGAATAACATATTAATTATAGATATTATATATAAAACAAATCCTTCATCTTACCCAATGTTATCAAAATGAGCTCTTAAGACTGCCCAGACAGTCACACATATTGTTGGAGTACCTGGGAAAACATGGGCAATCTAAATAAATATATCATTTCAGATTTTCACATGATTGCAACACCTGTCAGCACATAGCAAACACTTGTATGTGTGTGTGCTTTGTGTATTTTACTTTATACATAAAATATACAAAAAATGTTATAATATATATATAAAATATTTATGTATATTTCATTGCATACATACATATTTTATATTTATACATATTTGAAATAATTTTGTACATAAATATATTGATATTTATTTATTTACATAGTTTTTTGTGTACATTTCACTGTTATATATTTTTTTTTTTTTCTTTTTTTTCTTCAGTTTTTTAAGTAAATTAAATGTTTTGTTATAATAACTATATAAGCTATAATAACCCTGGTCTTACCCCATCCAATAATGGTGTACCAGTAAAAGTATCTTTTCTCAGGAAAGAACGTCTCAACAAGAAGCGTAAAGAGATATAAGCCCTCGATGATCAGCCAGAAGTAGTTTGACAAAACACAATAATGAAAAAATACCATAACTGCTTTACACTCCACCTGCAAAAAGAAAAACATAGAGTGAATATCACATTATCAAAATATTTATTTGATTTTGATTAACTAAAGCAGAATTTACATTTACATAATCTCACTGGACAATTAGTTAAAAGTCATCCAGGTTTGGATTGACATGAGGGTGAGTAAATGGTAACAAAATGTTCATTTTTGAATCAACTATCCCTTTAAAAACAGAAGAGTCACACTGTTGCACAGGGAAACATTCAAAGCACATTTAGCTAGTTGGCCAAGCAAAAAGCAACTGTGAGGTGACTACAGAGACCTCATTTTCTGAAGCAAATTAAAGCACATAACAGCAACACAAACGTGTCATTCTGAGACTAATTCCTTCCTCAAAGAAATGACATGGGCAACCTGGGATGTTAATGGGCCCATCACCATAACTGCCTGGGTATTTTGTGTGCGATGTGAAGGAGAGAGAGACTGAGACTCACAGTGTGTATAAAGCAATGGTTGCTGTCCTCCTCTGCATATAAAATGCCGTCTTTAATGAAGACTGAGATGGCCCTCAGGATGAAGGACACAAACAAGTTCATATGAATGAAATTCCTGGTGCAATGTAGCTTCCTGAGGGTAAAGCCATCCACAATAAAGAAATATTACATTAAACATAACAAAAATGCATCCTATATGTACAATGCCATTCAAAAGTTTATTTTATTTTTTTTTTAATTTAAAGAAACCTTTTATGCTTACCAAACCATTTATTTGAAATATAGATCTTTAGTAATAATATGTCTAAACAATTTGACCGAAGGTATATTTCGATGCATGCATCTTGGTGTACTAGTTTAGTATTATATTACAATATACAAATTGAAATGTCCAAAAATCTACATGTTATTCAGTTCTACTAATTTCAGGGGCTTAACGTAAATCATTATACTCCAAATATAATTTACAATTGTGTATCAAAATGCCTGTTAGTGAAAGCTCTCTAATACAGATATGCAGGTGTTTTTCGAAACACTTCACTAAGACAAATGTGTCCATATTCTGTAGTTTCCTCTGAAGCTTAAGAATAGAATGAACGCTCATGGCCTCTTTCTTGACCCAGGTTGACCTCTCACCTGAACCTGCAGAGAATGACCATGGCAGTGGTGAGAGACACCAGTGAGGTGCTGTAGCCCACAGTATACAAAGCCTTCACTGACACATAATACATGTCCTGCAAACAAAGAGAAGAAATGCTAATTATTGTCAAGCTAATTCAAACATGTTACAGTAAATGATAAAGCCCACCTTTCTATAATGAATATGTATTTAATATAGTTCAATTTCTTTAGAAATTTTGGAGGCTGAAAGAGTTTAGGAATCTTCTAAGGAGATACAGAAGGGACAGAAAGCAGGAAAGGTGAAGGACACTTACTGGACTTGTTCCATTTTCATTAAAAGGACAAACATCAACGTAGTGAGGGAACATCTCTGACCAGCCAGCCTCAGTGCAGTTACGGCTCACTTTACCAAACTCTACAAAAGGTGCAAAAATCCAACATATTTCATGAAGAAAATTCTAAGAGATAATGAAGAGCCAAACAATAATGAATCAAATAAACATTATTAACAAGCAGTGTTGTTATTTTTAACTAAATCTAAAACTATAAAATTGTTTTTTGTGAAACTATATATATATATATATATATATATATATATAACTGCAATAGAAATATTTATATTGATGTATTAAAATTACTAAAACTAAAACTGTAATAAAATAAAGCTAAATGAAATACAAAAAAACTATATACAAAACATAACAAAATGACTAAAACTTAATATAAAATTAAAACTGGATAATATAAAAAAAATCTTAAATTACCTAATCAGCTAATTCAAAATAGTAATTGCTAATATATAAATGATACTAAAATAACTAAAATAAATGTTTTTTTTTTTTTTTTTGCATATGCATAACTCCACACTAAAGACTGGGTGTTTTATGATGACTGAAAATTCAGCTTTGCATCACAGGATAAAATAACATTTTAAAATGTATTAAAATAGAAAACAGTTATATTAAATTGTAATAATATTTCAACATGGTCCTGCATTTTGATCAAATAAATGCAGCCTTGATTAGCACAAGATATTTCTTTCAAAAATATAAACTTTTGAATGGTAGTGTATAATATAATACTTTATATAATAATACTATTTAATGTTTTCTTAATTTCTAACTCCAGAATGCTAGGGTGCTCTAAATGATATCCTAAGAGTGACTATGTGGTTGCTAAGGTATTCTGAGTGTAGTGCATTGTTATGGGGTTACTAGGGTGTTTTAGGTGATTGCTTACTAGCCCAAGTCAAAAGAGTACAAACCCTAGTCTTTATGATATTCTTATTTATAGATAAGGACTGATTCCCAGGCAAAACAAAACAAAACAAAACAAAAAACACCTCATTACTTAATCATATCTACTCAGTAAGCCACACAATTAGAGTTATTGTTCATGTACTCACCATCATTTTCCTCACTCATGACCTCAAATAGCTCAGGACAGGGCATCCAGACTACTTGACCAATTTTTGCTGGCTGCCAGCAGGTGAGGTTGTCCCACATCCATCGGCAGACTAGAGGATTAAACAAGAATATCATATCATAGAGAGGGCCGCATTAACCATTGGGCTAGGCGGGGCTGAAGCCCCGGGGCCCGGACAAGGAGGGGGCCCGTGAGTAGATTGGCTGGTCATCGGTAACGCCAATTGCCAAAGCCCCGCCCCTCACTTATTAGCGCTATTATTTAGTGGAGCTTTTCCATATATTCCATGCATTACCGTTAGAGATTAAAACGTCACGTATGAATTTGGTTTACCAATCAAATGCATTTATTCTATATTTTTACTTTTGAACGACCTTTGCACCACGTATCAATCAGGTGAAGTGAGTCAGTAAAATCCCCAGCTATCAGGTTATTTAACTAAAGCTGATGATGGAGTAGGCCCTAGTTGTGAAACAGAAAGTGGACCGGGCACATGGAGCAGATAAAATCACAGCGACATCGTCCCCACAGATTTTAGGTTAGTTTGATTAACAAGTTAACAACTTGATGGATGTATATTGCTTTTTGTGTTTGAACAAAGTATATTCGCTTATGGGTTGAGAGATAAACCGGTAGAAATATATCAATCGTTTTGCGCGGCATGATGTAGGTTAAGCTTTTCATTTAAACGCATTTTAAGCATTGTGGTTTAAAAACAAATTTAACTGTTCAGGGACATTAAGCAGTGGGGCAGAATTCATTTTGGCAAATGTGCGCATTAAGACGGTCACGGCCTGATTCGCGTGGCGCGCAGCTGCTCTACAGCGCCAGTCTAACTTGAGTTATTTTTCACGCCTTGTGCTTAAACGTTCAAATGCAGGGTTATGTGTCAAAATGTCTCCTCGTCAACACAGTCATTTGTGTCTTAAATGAACGTTAATAGTTAAATATAAAGCATGTGTAGTAGTAGGCTATATGAGATCCTAATATGATGAGATTTTAAAGGGATAGTTCACCCAAACATGAAAATACTGTCATCATTTACTCAGCCTCAAGTTGTTCTAAACCTGTATGAATTTATTTGTTCTCTTCAACATAAAAGAAGATATTTTGAAGAATGTTCAGAAAATTTCTGGTCCCCATTGACTCCAGTAGTGTATTTTGTTTTTCATACACATATATATATATTATATTTGTAATAGGGGGCCCTGCAGTAAGTCATAGCCCCGGGGCCCAGTAAGGTCTTAATGCGGCCCTGGTCATAGAGGAATATCATAGCTTTAAATCTCTGCCTAAACAACTACTACAATAAACCCAATATGGAAATTTAATACATGACAGATATTACTCTTTTATCAAGAATGATATTGCCATATATGTTACCTATAATGCAATATATAATTTTCACATTTGTACATATGTACATAATTAATTATATATAGCAATCATATATGGCAACAATATATGTTTCAATATATGTTTTTTTTTTTTTAAATACATGCCTGTCTTTTATATTTATTTACATAATATCAACATGTTTTAAAGGGTTTTAAAATGAATATAAATGTATATGGCATATATGTTCAAAAATGTATTACACAGACATATACTTATTTGTATTACACATAATATACACATTTGTATGGCCTACATATATATGTTAATGTATGACATCGTTCCAATTTCTAATAAGTTTCATATATGTGACCCTGGACCACAAAACCAGTCACAAGGGTCAATTTTTTTAAATTGAGATTTATACATTGTCTGAAAGCTGAATAGATAAGCTTTCCATTGATGTATGGTTTGTTAGGATAGGACAATGTTTGGCCAAGATACAACTATTTGAAAATCTGGAATCTGAGGGAGCCAAAAAAAAAATCAAAATATTGAGAAAATCGCCTTTAAAGCTGTCCAAATGAAGTTCTTAGCAATGCATCTTCACATTACAATATTTTTCATATTTGGACATTTTATACATGTACATACAGTATATTACAGTATATTACATTTGTGTAAAATACTTAAATACTATTGTAATAAAAATTATTTAAAATATAGAACTTGGGTTTAGGCTTAGGATCTCAACATTAAAGATTTGTGAACCGGTTTTTATGGGGTATTTACAGCACTTGAGAATAGAATAGCCTAGTTTAAGATATATTTAGGTGTGCTACGTGACAGCCATTCTCATGATTCAGTGAAAATCAGCGCAAATGACAAGTGACAAAAATAGGCTTCCATCTGCTTCAGTAAAGCAGTAGATTGTAATTCAATCAAAACAATGCCATAGCATTTTAGAATAAAAAATAGTGTATTTGAGCTTAAAGATTATGCACAAACTCAGTCATTAAATTTAAGTAAATATTTATTTTTAATTAAATTAATGATTTTTTCCCTCTAAATTAAATGTTAAAAATTAGAAGCTTTATTCATGTTGATCTTTGTTATTATCTCTCCGTTCTCTGTCTTTCTCTACACATAATCACATGCTGTCAGCATGGCTCTGTGCTATGTTTTTTGCTCTGAGCTTTTTTTTTTTTTTTTTTTTTTTCTTTTTT